ACTATTAATGAATTAGAACCATCTTATTCACTGTCGATAACTTCAACTTCAATTATCTCTATAACTAGAGTTTTGACTGAGTCAGCATTAAAAATCAGGTTTCTGACCTATTCTCACCATATTTACATATACTGGGCACAGCTGTCTGTTCTACAATCCTCTTTGTTTTTTTTCATAAACCTTAAATGATGGGAGTTATTAATTTTTTGGTCAAAATTTGGCACATACAGTACAGTGGTACTGTACCTCGAATTACGAGCGTCCCTGTGTACAAGTTTTTCGGATTACGAGCAGGACATGCTCGGAAAATTTACACCGGAATACAACTGTTACCTCGGAATACGAGGGTGTTGATACGCGTACAGGCCGACCTAGCGTGTGGTGGCACGGCGATCGCCCCTAAGTTTACCAGTGCCTTGCGCCCAGTGACTATCCCGCCTGAATTCTTCCCCAGGATTTACAGTGTTTTGTTGGATATTTGACCATTTGAGCATAAAAGTTATTATATATCTTGCAATGGGTCCCAAGAAAGCCAGTGGTAAGGTTCAACCTAAGAAAATAGTTGTGAGTAGAGGCAGTAGAGGATGTCCCTTCTTCATTAAGAAAATGTGTGAAGTATGGGAAGAACTGCAAAGTTTTGTTGAAAAAACTCACCCAGATAAAGCTGTAGCAGGCCGTTGCATTGACCTTTTAAATGACAATGTGATGTCTTACTACAGACAAGTGTTAAAATGTAGGAAAAACAAATGTCTTTAGACAGTTTCTTAGTAAGACAAGCAAGCAGTGAGCCACAAGCACGTCCTAATGGTATGCAGGCAAAACATGCCAGAGAATGCACTCCAGAAAGGGCCTCACTGCCTGATGTTATAATGGAAGGGGGACTCCCCTTCCAAACAGTAACACCTCTCCTAATCTCCCCCATCCTCCCCATCTTCCATACGCCAACAGCAGTCATCAGCAAGGGTAAGTAATAACTTGAACATACTTTTGTAGTGTAGATTTTGATGAATTAGGTATGAAATTTAGTTTGAAATGAGGCTTTTGGGTAATCGGGAACGGATTAATTCATTTCCCATTATTTCTTATGGGGAAATTAGCTTCGGATTATGAGCTGTCTCCAGGAACGGATTAAACTCTTAAACCGAGGTACCCCTGTATTTCAAATGCCATATTGACAATTTTTTTTTTTACAATAAACTTCATATACTGAATCCTATAATAATAACAAATAAAAATGAAGGTCATATGCTCTTCTGAGAGCATAACAACACCAAATGAACACTGTGATATTAAATATTTTTGATGCTCATTTGAAAATTAGAATTTTCAATAGTTATTTATATAATTATTTTTCATTTTCTCATTTTTCAAGTTATGTTGGTGATTATTTAGACAAAGTTGGAGCATATGCCTAGTAGATTATATACACAAAATTTGAAAGCGTTTGAGCAAGGTGCAAAATTTAGTTTCTTGGGCCCTTAAGTCTAGCCAGTCTGGGGTTTATCCTCGTGTCCATGATGTTAGGAAGCTTGCGGCTTTGGCTGCCATCTTTGGCAACATGTCTTGTGCTGATATTTGGGGATTTTGGAGGTCGAACATGGTCCAGCTGCCCGATATTTGGTTAACATTCCTGGTCCTGGGCGTTCATGTGTGGCTTTGGGTCACAGGTTGCAGCCAGTTGTCTGGCCTTCGAGTTGAGGAGCGTGTGGCGGCCACCTCCTGGGTAAATCCCTTTCTTCCTTTGGTCATGTAGCTCCAGGGAGCCAATGGGGCTCCCCTCAAAAAACCAGCATTGAATGTAATGAAGTGCCATTTTCAGGGTGAGACCCAATGGCTCCCTGGCACCCCTTTCTTCCTCCGGTCGGCAGTTTTCGTGTTGCTTTGATACTTAGCCTTCGAACTAGAATGGCTGGGTCGTTGGCGCATGGGGTCTAAGTCTTAAGGGGGGGGGGGGAAGGCGTGCGGACGAGCGACACAGTAGTGGGGTGAAACATTTGCTTGTTTCCTTGGGATTGGAGGGAGTCCCACCTCTATGTTCAGTTTTCAGTTGCAATTTTCTTACTATGTGGGGACTGTTTTGTTATGCCTACCTTTCTGGGTGCCTAACCCTGATCAATGGCTGATAAGGAAAACCCCCAACCACAGAGGGCGGGTCCTCCAGGGTTATTGCTCCCCTGTACCTCTCTTGAGGGACGAGGTTCTGGCTCCTGGTCCTTGGTAGGTTTAACTATGACTAATGATGCCCTGGTCTAATGATACCCTGCATATTAGCCCGGTAGCTCCAGGGAGCCTGCGGGTCACACCCGGAAAATGGCGTTTCATTACATTCAATGTTGGTTTTTTGTGGTATGATGTTTAAAACAAAATTATGCAACAAAAGATTACCATTAATTTTGTAACTGGGCACTCTGGGTCAAATAATAAATGTTCTTAACTAACAGCTAAAATATAGCACCTACAATTTTTTTCTTTCAAACTTCCCATCATTTTCTCTATAATTACATAAAATACTTAATTTGGTGAAAATTTTTGCATGATGGGAGAATCACTGGAAAACTGCAACAGAAGGGTTAGTTTCATCTAATGTAAAGAGTTATGGATATAATGTATCATGCATCTTCTTCATATATTGGGAAAAAGCTCACTTTATACAAGGGTTCATAAATTGTCATTGGAACTTGATATGTTAAAAAGGATCAGATATGAGTGATATAAACTGTAATTTTTATTCTGTGTATGAAATATATATTAAATTTTATATACAGTATAAGTGAACTCATCCTACTCAGGACTATATGCTGTTCAACGGACTATAAATTAAAGCTATATTACAAAATAATTTGAATATAGTTTATGGAAATATTCTTAAATGTCAGCTGCCCTGATACTGTGCGAGATACACAGTACAGTACAGTGTATGTATTTATGTGTATGTGTGAATATAATATATATACATATATATATTATTTTAATCACCATGCGTGGAGTAAGAGGTTTCCAATATGCTGTACACTGGTTTAACAGAACAATGGTGAGCTCTGACGTTAACATGCCTGGCAAAATATGTGGAGGAGGGTGGGTTGGAAATGTTCCATACATGATTAATTAGGTTTGTTGCTAGCTATATTGTTTATCAAAACCAGACTTATCGCCAAGTCTAACAATAATTACTATTAATATGATCAAATATTGTTGGTAATTTTTGATAGTTACTGATTACTTCAACAGCATCTTCCATACTAAGATATCTACTGCACAGGTGACACTTTAGATATAAAAATGTAATAATTCTAGGATATAATTTCCTCATGACCTTCCTTTTTATATCTTAAGCTTTATGCACAAGTCATATTGACCAAATGGTCATACTGTTGGGACATTATCATACTTGTACACCTGGACATACTGTATGTACAAAACAACAGGCAATTGACACATTGTATTAACAAAACAACAGGTAAGAGGCATATTGTATACATTTAGGCATACTCCATATATGTACAATGGATGGGAAGAGTATCATCAAGTATATGGTTACTATTAACATTTTCAATTCTTTTTAGTTTACACTGAAGTCACACACACGAGGTGTGAACAGATTAATGCTATCTATATTCCTGATGGATGATTCCAACAGTTAAGTATGACTGCATACTTGACCTATTTCACTCAAATTCCCTAATATCTACCAGCATGTAAAGAAACTCTGCCTAATGTACGCATACAAGACAGTGACTCGTCACCATGGATGACTTACTGTCAACTCAATAAAGTTAATCCATTTTCCTCCTTATGCTTCTATTATATGAAAATTGTTTAAACATTGTCAAATTTTACACATTTTTTTTTTTCAAAGACCTCTGTTTTCCACAATCTTTTACAGTCTGTCCATACTCCTACTTTTCATCATCTTTTTGAGCTTCCAGTCCTTTACATCCTTGCAGCTGCTTCCACATTAAAGGAAGATTAACTTCCATAAATACTGTAGCAAGGTATCATTACCTGCTGGCAACTGCTTAATTGCTGGCAATGAATCTCTTTTTTGGGGGGAAATATTTAGCTGTTCAGTTTGGTCTTTTGACCTTTTAAATGTATGCTGATTTAAATGAAGGTTCTGCATATTCAAACTAACTATAAATTTGAAAAGGAATACATCATATCAGGCATCACTACTGTCTCATTATGTAAACACAATATTAATATAATATACAATTCGATACAGTATACAGTACTGTATATGAACTTTGTAATGTACAAGTAGTGCAATAAAACACTGTGGAAAATTGTTCTCTAATCTGAAAGATGCATCCCAAACATAGCCACCTTGAATGCCAGGTGATTAATGAGTGTTTAATGTATCTTTCTTGTACAGTAAAGATAAAAATCAGTAAATGCATTTGGGTGCTCGGTTGGGATAAACTACATTTGATCATAAATTATATGTATGACATGTGCTTTTGTTTACCATTTTTAAGACACTTCTAATGTAACAGGGATCATGTTGTTACAGCTGTGTGGATAATGTATGTCCCAGCAAGCAAATAGACAGTACGTTTTAATACTAAATGTAATAAGTACATTCCTGACTGTCTGCATAATACATAATTACACTTATTGTGCTGTTACATTTACCTCCCCATATATTCTCCTCATTTTCTGTTAATATTACACTCAAAATTTTTAGGTTGAAGTTTTCGTGTTCAATTCTATATATACACACGTTTTAAATATAAAGAATTTCTTTTTCAGTTTTATTAAACAATAGAGATTTGAAAATATCCTGAGTTACTTTATAATTTATCGAAAGACTTTAGTTTTGTTTTATTAGTTTTATAAAACTGCAATATCAATATAGCTATAGGTTAAGTACTAATTGTAATTATGAAGCAATAAGTGCTATTAACATGCTTGTCCTCCTACACTCCCAAAGGTTAGGTTAAGTTGTGGTTTTCTATCCAGCTTTTCAGGTAAACTCTAATATTCACAATATTTTGGTGCGATGCTGGTGATTAAGTGTATTTATGTACTATGCCAATAGTCAGGATTGTACTTATTACATTTAGTTTAAAACATACTATCTATTTGGGCTATTTGGAGGATGGGCTGGTCCCAGTTAAGTAACCATATATATTACAACAATAGTGCTAAACACTGTATATAATCATAGAAAATTACTATGAAATATCATTGCATTTTATTCTTAAGGTGATATTCCACTATAAGCATATCTTGAAGTTTGCAAAAATTCTTAATTATTTCACCTAACTGAGAGTTACTATGTTTCTTGTTGTGCCTGCTGCTACTGTGGTAGAAACCTTCATTGGCACATTTCCTGTATTTTTATTTGACATAGTGGCAGAAGATTTAGTATTTTTGTCAAAATATTAGAGAATCCGAGTTTAAAAAAACTAGATGTCTGTCATTAATAAAAAGAAAGCCCAGATTGGTGGTGCCTTAAGTATCAAGCCTGCAAGGCATAACCTTACCTCCACGTGTAATTTTAGGGGTGTTGGACTGAAAATTAATGATCTAACTGTCCAGAAAGAATGTGGGACAAATGATGGAACGAGTCAGTGCCTGTAATTGACTGCCAATGAAATAACAGATTGTCAGTATTTGATGTTTTTGCTGTTTTTTTATTTTTTTTATTTAGAAGACTGTCAATGTCTCTTGCATCATGAATATCGTGGCAAAATTATAGATATCTGGACATTTTTGGTATATTTTCAGTTATGTAATAATATCAGTCATGGTCATAATGGATATCTGACATGATGGGCAGTCAACTCATACAACAGTGTGTGTATGTATGTGCAATTACTTAAGTGTAGTTACAGGATGAGAGCTATGCTCATGGTGTCCCGTTTTCCAAGTATTGTACTCTACTCCTTGACGTATAACACTTTCAAACTACTGACAGTATTGGCCTACAAAACCTTTTGGTGCACATGTGTGTGTATGTGTGTGTGTGTATTATAATGTCTTAATGTGTTACATACTCAGTTTTACGTTTTTAGCATTTACAGTATTTACAATGCTAAACAAAATATTAAATAATAATTTTAATAAATAAGAGAATATGTTTGAGATTTCGTCCAGTATAAATAGAGTATACTGCACTGAGGATCAGCAGTGAACACATCTGCCTCACAGAGAATTATGCTAGTAATTATGACTAGTCATTATCACTTCTTGCACGTGGTAAAAACCTGGGCTGATAACACAAGCCTTACACTCTCTACAACATCATAAATATATTACAGTCAAAAGCAGTAACATTGGAAATATCCAAAACACAAAATATAGGTGTACAGTATAGTGTTATGAAAACACTAACATTGTAGTATTTAAAAGGAAAACAATTGAACCTGAGAAAAGTGTGACAACTCTCAACAGTACAGAACACACATTAAAGCATCCTTTAATTGGTAATGATGATCTCACTCAAGATACGGAACACACATGCAGTAGAACGTTTCAATTTGACCACAAAGATATATTTGAACTTCATGACATTTTAATGTAGTTTATAAAGTGCACTACATGTGATTCTCTCTCTGATGAGCACACATCATTACTGAACCACTCAGTTATAGCAAGATTGATTTATTAAAATATATAATTTAGAAGATATTGAATAAAGAAATTAGAAAAATGTAATTATTAAATGTTTTCAATATTATAAAATAGCTTTTGGAATTAGTTATTTGAAGATATAATGCAATATTGTGGAAGTACTCACTACATAGCTTAGTTATTGCAAGTAATGAGCAAGCAATAATATGTTCATGATAACTTGTTCTCTAGTGTAGTGTGAACTATAAGTATGGAGTTGGATTTAAACTAAATTACTTAAGTAATAAAATGGATTGAGATAATATAATATATATTAAAACCATCCACACAACTGATGGGCAATTGAGAAAGATATTAAGTATTGAATTAATCTATTTTCAAATGCAACCTTAATATGGAATTCTACTGTCAAGAATGTTCATGATTCACAATGCAAAATTTATATTTGTATAAATCGGTACTACTGTGTATGGTTTAGTTTGATAAAAAATCTATACATATTGTAGTCATAAACTTGACATATCACACTACTTTTGTTTATATAAATTTGATTATTAAATTCTTGCATCACACAAATCTAGATTTTTAACTCTTACACTGCATAAAATACTACAATACTCTTTCCAGACAAAGTGATGAAGGAGGCCTGGTCGACGACCGGGCCGCGGGGACGCTAAGCCCCGGAAGCACCTCAAGGTAACCTCAAGGTAAGCACCTTCCACTCGGGACTAAGGAGGGCTGCCACTTGTCTTACAGTTGTGCAAGGTGATTATTTTCTAATATTGTTCATTTCCTCACTAAAAGTCATGTATTTTTCCTGTAGACTACATGAACAATAAGTATTATAAAAGAGCACCATGTTCACTTTCAACAATGATATAAGACTGATAACATGAAACCATTTTCCTTTAGTGTTGCTTCATCTACCATGTTAAATCAATGATCATACAAAATAGTCCTAACAGTTAATCTAACCTCATTTAAAGATTCTGATAGTTTTTGAATTTAATCACATTAAAAGATCTGCCTTGTTTTGGCATGGTAATTAAATTAAAGCTCTTCTAATTTTATTTTATTTTGACTTGTGAATGCCATTATGCACATGAAGTGTTAGGCCATGTAGTTAATTACACATGGGACTCCTTTGATCATCTTTCTCTAAATTAGAGAAGCCACGTCACTCATGGCCTACGTGCAAGACATCTAAGCTTAGAAAACCTGAGAGAATCTTTAGGACACTTTGGGGCATTCTTTGCTGCCCCTGAATCCCCCTGTCACTTACGGATGAAAGAGAAGAGTCCTTTTCTTCTACATGTTCCTGGACCCATCAACATTGGCACTTGGTTATGGTGACTGATGTGTATCTGGAAGAACACACCACCAAAAAACCAGCGTTGAATGTAATGAAACGCCATTTTCTGGGCGAGACCCGGAGGCTCCCTGGAGCTTATCGGGCTAATGTGTGTTATGTTAGACCGGGACATTAGCTAAGGAGTTCAGACCTACCAGGGACCAGCGCCAGAACCTGGCCCCTTCAGAGAGGTTTCAGGGAGCAATGGCCCTGGAAAACCCCATATGGTTGGGGGTTTTCCTTATCTGCCATCGACCGGGGTTAGGCACCCAGAAAGGTAGGCGTAACAAAACAAACCCCACATGGTAAGAAACTACAACAAAAACCGAACAGAGAGGTAGAAAACTCCCTACAATCCCAAGGAAACAAGCAAACAAGCAAACATCACACTTTACTGCCGCGCCGATCGTCCGCGCAGCCCTCCCCACCCCGGGAGGGGGAGGGGGGAGCCCCGGACCTACCGCGCCGGCTGCCAAGCTCCAGTTCGGAAGCTAAGCCTCAACCAACGCGAAAAAACCGCCGACCGGTGGGAGGGAGGGTTTCCAGGGAGCCTCCGGGGCTCACCCAGAAAATGGCGTTTCATTACATTCAACGCTGGTTTTCTGTGGGGAGCCCCTACGGCTCCCTGGAGCTTCATACCCAAAGAGAAGGAAAAGAAAGGGCTAACCCGGGAGGCGGCCGCCACAAACTCTGCAACGCAAAGCCAAGACAACCGGTCGCAAACCTGCGACCCAAGGCAACAAGAACGCCCAAGAACAGACGCACATATGGATGGGCGGCCAAAAACCTGTGCGACCCACAATTCCCTGCGCCCGAAATGAGCCCGAGACGTCACCAACACAGCAGCAATTGCTGCAAACGTCTGAACAGCACGGGCGCAAAGACAGACCGCAGTAAGAAGGAAAACACTGCGGACGACCCGGGAGACCCGATCCCTGAAAACAGGGAACGAAGGAACCGGATCAACCACAGCGCATCCCCAGGCACGGTATGCCGGCAACAGCAAAAAGCACAACTGGACAACACAGGACGCACCCCCCGGCCAAACCAAACAAGTACCAATACCCCAAGAACCCCTCCGGAAAGCAGCCGTCTCGACCGTCGCCAGGACAGAGAAAGGCTGCACACCAATAAAGCTACCACCAGTACCAAAGAGGAGGAAACTGAAACCGAAGGGGCTACCAGAAACTGAGGGGAAGAGAAGAAGGCACCCTGAACCAGGACCAGGATGGCTCAGGCGACTCATGAGCAGGCCGGAGGGGAAACAAAACGCGAGAAGACGTAATAAACGTCATACAGTCTCCAAGACGAAGCTCGCAGGTGGGACACCGTCAACAAAGCCACCGGAACACCATAGAGATGGCGATACCTGCGTCAAAATACCAGACGCGAAGAGCCAAAGAGAAGGCCGAACCAGTCACGGACAGGACCGATTCGGCCTGCTGAAAGAGGCGAAGCCTCAGGAAAAACGCCCCGGGTACGGACACCTATCAAGCAGCGTCTGAAAAGAAGGCCGGGCCGGCCACAGTGGAACCATAAGGACTGTTCTCGTGGGAATGGGCTGCAACTGAGCCAGAACCCGAAGCAACAGCTGGACCGGAAGAAGAGGTACAGGTACCCCCCACCTCGACCAGGCCTGCCGAAAACCTCCACCGTGAAGTCCTCGCAGGTGGGAAGGGCGCCACAAAACGGGCGACGCCTAGACCACGCCGACCCGAAGACGTCCATGGCCAGGAGTCCATAAGCCCAACAGAGCCAACAAAACGAATCGGCGACGACTGGCCAACCCACGAAGAGGAATGAACCGAGACAGCTGTCCACCAGGACGCAGGACACACCCCGGACACGAACCACACGGTTAACCAAACCCCCTGTGGTTCCGGCAAGAACCACCAGAGAACAGTCCAAACAGAGCTGAATGGTAGAGTACCTAGTGACCCAAACCCTCCGAAGCGCAAACCAGACAGCCATGAACACCAGAACTGGGCTGCGAGCCCGACGGACAGACAGACTCCATCAACCTCGGCCGACCTGGTGAGCACTGGTCACAAAGCCCCAGCCGAGAGACGACCCGTCCGTGAACACATCGAGCGAAGGCTCGGGGAGCCGCCAAGGCACGGAACCCCGAAAACCCCAAAGAGGAAGCTGGTGACGCAGCACCAACACCAGATCCCCAGAGGAACCCAAGGAATGCAAGAGGCGGAAGTGGAGTCTCCGTAGGAACCAACCGACGCCAGAGCCAAACCCGACTCCGCGGGCAGACAAGCACGCCGAAGTGCAAACTCCCGCACAACCGCCCAAGCAACCGCTGAGCAACCCGGGACCCCCTCCTGAACAGCCAAAGGCGGGACCACAGCCACAGTAACACTTCTGGAGGGAAGACAATGAGGGGCCCAAGAGCCTGAAACAAGGCCCAGGTCCGAACCCAGGACGGAAACAGAAGGTAAAACCTCCAGATCACCAGGAAACCAAACCCAGCGATCTGGAAAGAACCATCCCCTGGCGAGCAGACAAGCGGACAGACTGGGAGCCCACTCCAGCCAGTCGTCGAGGTAGGCCAGACACCGAATCTCAGACGCAGACAGGGCACTAAGATCCGGTAAAGATGCAAAGAGTATACAAAGTGCCCTTCACAAAATAGGGAATGCAATAAAAACAGCAAACCTGAAGCCCCACCACCAAAGCATTGTATGACAATCATATGAAGACATTATGACATATGACAATCATTATATGACAATATGACAATTATAATCAAAGCATTATATGACAAAGAGTGCTGGGAAGACGGGACACCACGAGAGTAGCTCTCATCCTGTAACTACACTTAGGTAAGTACACATAGGTAATTACCAACCGTGCTAGTCCCAGAAAAACAGGAGAGGAACGTGCCAAGAAGTGACCTGGAGGTCCAGGTCCACCATCCATGCACCCGGCCCTAACAGAATCCGAACAGGGGACAACAGTCCACCGAGCAGGGCAGAGGATCCAGGGCGCAGACGGAAGTAGTCCAGAAGAACTGCAGACTGGAAAAGCTCATGACTGCAAAGAGCAGACGGGAAGCCCAGAAGGATGGGGCGGATCGACCACGCCCCACGCACCCACGAAAAGGAAATGACGAAGCGCAGGGAAGAAGCCCACCCCGCCAGCTCTGAACCCCCCCAAGGGGGAGAAGCCGTCCTCCGACGCCAGCAGAGGCCGGAAGACAACCCAAAGCGCCCACCAACAGCGGGACCAAGCGAGAGGCAACAGAGCAAGCTGCTCCCCCAGCGCCCAGTCAACAGAGTAGGGAACAGAACCCCTTCAGAAAGAAAAAGTACACTACCGAAGTCATGAGGAGAGACTACGGGAATGAAACCACACTTCGCTGGAAGAGGAAGTGAGGGGAGACCTGATCACCACAAACAAGATACCCAAGGGAATCGACAGGGTTGAGAAGGACAGGCTATGTAACAAGGGGCATACGCACTAGGGGACACAGGTGGAAACTGAGTACCCAAAAGAGCCACAGATAGAATTAAAGTTTTTTTTTTTTTTTTTTTTTTTTTTTTGTGTCAGAATGGGAACGGGAAAGCACTAAGAAGTAATGTGGCGACTCCTCACACAAGTAACGAGGCTGACCCCCATACAATGTCACATGTAGACATGACAGAGCCCAAGAGGCACAGGAACCGAAACACCTGTTGACGGACGGTTGAGAGGCAGGACCAAGGAGCCAGAGCTCAACCCCCACAAGCACAACTAGGTGAGGACATATATTGTAAAAGCACAAGCCGCCGACTAGTGGCAAAGAGCACTACGCCGGCCAGGCAAAGAAGGCACAAAACTGCATCAAAAGGCCCACCTCGACAGCAAAACCACAAAGTCCCAGCACAACCACAACATGTGCCAAGACCCAAAAAGCTCAGTCTGCAAGCCAGGAAGACCCCGGAACCCCAAAAGGCAGAACCGGGTCACACGAGGAAACAAAGTCCCCTGAACCCACAAAAGGGGGCCCAAGAGGAAGAAACCTCCAGAACGAAACCAAGGAACCCAAAGGAACCCAGAATCGAACCAGGGGGAGCCCAAACCACCACATTTGCCGGCGGAGAACACCACTAAAAGGCAAAGCACAGACCCCAGCAGAACGCCCGGGAAAACGGTCCCAACAGACCGAAAACCGAGGGGCAAGGTGTGGGAGCAAGCATACCAGCCAGGGGCACTGAGCCTAAACCCAGAGGCTTAGACCCAAAAGCAACACCCAAACGTTCCCAGAGGAACAGGCAACGGCAAGAAAACGCCAGAAAAACAAAGAAACGACAACAGGAGAACAAAAACCCTGCAAATTTTTTGAAAACTCACCAGAGACGCTCGCTCGCACACCCAGACGCATGTAAACAAACCGCAACGCCGCCCTGGTGGCCACGCCGTGAAACCGGCAGACGAAAATGGCCGCCAGCAGGGCTGTGACTGACGCTTAAGACACAAAAACACGCCAGCAAATGTGGGAAGCTAGCAGACTGGAAAGGCGAAAAACGACGCCCAACAGCAGAAAAACCCCTGAAGGGGCAAAACCGCCCCAGAACTGCTAGTAGGCATCCCCCACAGCCCCGGGAACCAACAACAGAGGCCCCGGGGCAGAGCCGTCCTCCAAGCCCTCCGCCCTGAAAGAAAAGCAAGAGCCCATGGGAAAGGCAACAAGAAAGGGCCGCTGGTAAGACCCAGAAGCCTTGGCAGGAGGCACAGGCTCAAACCTCCGTCCCCAACCCGAACGGGGCATCCCCCGAAAACCGCCCGAGTCTCTGCCGCAACTGAACCCCGCCCCGACCCCGAAACCCGCAGACGGTCCGGAGCCGGGAACATGGAGAGAAAGGGGCGAGCAGCACCTAACCAAACGGGGCGGCCACGGGGCATTCGAGTGGGAAACCAACCGAGCATGTTGCAGCAACCTAACCTAGCTTGCAACACGGATGCCGCCTGTACTCTGAACAGTAATAACATCAGGAGAGTACTGGAGAACAAGCAGAGAATCACTCGCAAGACTCCGGGTCAAGGTGTCAGTGACCCAACAGGCAGCATGACGGAGGTAAAAATGGCGACTGTCACCCGGAGACAAGGGAACAGCAACCAACGATCCCGTTCAAGACGGGTTGGAACCCGGAAGACACATTCAATGGTCCCCCGAGCCCAGACAGGGGTTTCCAGGGCCCGTAGGGTAACAACTACGGGAAGCCCGGGCAAGGTAAAACCAGCGTTGAATGTAATGAAACGCCATTTTCTGGGCGAGACCCGGAGGCTCCCTGGAGCTATCCGGGCTTATATGAATGTATTAGACCTTGACATCAGTCAAGCGAATAGAGTTCTAGGTCTACCGGGGAACACGAGCCAGTACCTGGCCTCCTCAGAGAGGCACAAGGAGTAATGGCCTATAGAAACCCCCGTGTGGTTGGAAGTATTCTATGTCTGCCATTGACCAGGTCAGGCACCCAGAAAAGTAAGTGCCCCAAAACAAACTCCTATTCTGGTAAAAAGATTGCTACTGAAGGCTGAACTGTTGGACAGAACTCCCCAAATGAAAAAGAGCAAACAAGCATGACGTCACTACGTCATCGTCCCGCTGTCTGTGCAGCTCCCCTCGTTCCCAGGAGGGGGAAGGTGGAGCCTCAGACCCCCCACGGCGGCTATCCACACCCCAGTTTGGAGGCTGGATGGAAAAACACACACAAAAAAATCACCGACCGGAGGGAGGGAGGGTTCCCAGGAAGCCCCTGGGTCTCGCCCAGAAAATAGCATTTCATTGCATTCAATGCGGGTTTCCTGGGGGTAGCCCCTTTGGCTCCCCAGAGCTACCTAACCAAAGATAAAACAAGAGAGAGTTACCCAAGAGGCAGTCACCACTCGCTCCTTAACTCGAAGTCGAGACAACTGGCTGCAACTGCCTACCCAATGCGACACATGCCCGACTAGGGCCAGGAACATTAACAAGGTAGCGAGTGGCAAGGACCCTGTTCGACCTTTAAAAACCACGTGCCTAAATGTCAGGCCAAGACATGTTACTGAAGACGGCAGAAAATGCAGTAAACTTACAAACATCATGGGCACGAGGATAGACTGCAGGCTGGCTGAACCAAAAAACCCTGCGGACCACCTGGGAGACCCGAACCCTGGAACAGGGAAGAAGGGAAATTGGGGAAATCTCCGAGATGACCCGACACAGCACAGGAGAAGAGGCCTGCCCTGCCAGCCCTGAACCCCCCGAAGGAGGTGGGGCCACCCAACGCCACCGCATGCTGTCCAAAATTACCCGAAAAGCCCACAAATCATGGGACCAGGTGTGAGCGAACAGCGAGAGCCTCATCTCCCCCCCTCCCCCCATCACCCTTTTAATGGGACGAACTGCAAAAGAGCCAACACCCCTTATAGCAGAGCGAACACCGCGCCGCCCAGACGTCTGTTCCAAAGGCTGTGACGCCTCCGAAACAGGTATCACTGGCCTTCCACGACGGGAGGAACCCTGAGCCCTGGCACGACCCTTCCAGGAAGACCCCCCCACAGGCCCCCCGGAGAACCAACAAGTCCAACATGGGACGACTACTGGAAGAAGCTGCCTGCTGATAATACACCATTGCAGACTCTGCAAACAGCAAAGGACAAAAAGGCGAAGAAAACCTAAGAGCCAATGCTGAAGAGGATTCCAAGGAGGAAGCGAGCACCGCCTGCTGACACACAAGACGAGAAGCAAAAAATAGAGACACCGCATCCTGCAGGATTGGCGTGAACAGCTTCAACAGAGCAGATGACGCCCGCACCACCGAGACCAACGCACCCGCCCCAAGCGCCTCCACATCCTCCTCAAGTCAATCAGAAGAGAGCTTGAGAAAGGAAAAGAACCTCAAGACCGACATCAAAAGGCCACAGGTGCGCAAATCTTTAACAACCAGGGCAGCCGAACTTGCATGTAAAGCTGCATAATGCTGACATCTCGAGGAAAGGCAGGAGCGAACAAACACACATTGAGGTGCTCGAGGTGATTCCCCAGGTAAACCTGGACCGCTGTAAGAGCCTCCCACTACTCAAGCATACAGGAATAGTAGAACGTACGCCATGCCTCCAACGAAAAAACAGGACAGCCCGCCAGCCAGGACGCCTGCAGAACCTCATAACTAACCCAATAAGGAAAAGAAAAACCAAAAACAAATGAGGAAGGATACATTATGGAGGCGTAATCCGAGTCGTGTAGGAGGTAAGCCGCAAGGGCCTTCTGCACCTAATGAGGTGGGATGTGATAGGCCGAAAGCCTCCAGAAGGACGGGACCAAAGTACCCAATGGAACACTGAACCGAATCCGGGTAGGGGTCGATGCTATATCAAACTTAAACCTGGAGGGAGGATAAGAAAATCCCACCCCCTGTAAGAACAAGCCCTGCTCAGAAGGGTACCAAAACCCAAGCGGGGTCTAACGGGATCCAAGCCTCCCAAGTCAACTCTTTCCCTGCCCCGGGAACTTTCACATCAGGACCCAGGGCCGAGTGCCTCAAAAAGAAAAGGCAGAAGCTGCTGGAAAAGCATGAATGAAGGGGGGCCCACTGATCAGAACCAGAAGCACCGGCTGGAGGAACAGGTTCGAATGCCTCCGTCGCCCCACTGGAAAGGGCATCCCCCGAAACTGCCTGAGTTTCAACACAAACTAAACCCTGCCCCAACTCTGAAACTCTCAGACATTTCAGAGCTGGAAGTAGGGGGGGAAGACAAGGACGAACAACAGAAGGGGAAGAACAAGGGGGCGCAGACAAAACCAAAGTCGAAGCGACAAACACCCCAAGTCCGAGTCCCTATAACAAAAACGTTTTAGGTGTTTTGGTTATAGGGACCTACCCAGAACCAGATTTGGTTATAGTCCGGGTCCTACCCAGAGGCAAACATGGGTGCAAGGAAAACCTCAGCCGACTCCAAGGGCGGGCAATCACCGAGCAGCAAAAACCACAGCGGCGGTAGACCCCAAGGTGACTTATGGAAGGTAACCCCAAGCCCCAAGGGCAGTACTTACAGGGCACCTAGGGAAGGTAACCCTAGGCACATGCAGCCTGAGTACTTGGGAAATTACTCCTGGCTCTCACACCATCACCAGACAGGACCACACCACAAGGCACAACACTGAGAAGATTCAGAACCAAAGTAGCACAACTGCCAAGAATCACATCAGCCACAGAACTGGGGTGTGGATAGCTGGCATGGGAATCTGAGGGTTACCCCTCCTGGGGAGGGGGAGTTGAGCAGACAGTGGCACGATGATAGTGACGTCACGTTCGTTTGCTCGTTTTCATTTCGGGAGTTCTGTCCAACAGTTCGGCCTTCAGTAGTAATCTTTTCACCAGAATAAGGATTTGTTTTGAGGCGCTTACCTTTCTGGGTGCCTGACCCAGTCGTTGGCACCTAGATATAGAATGCTTCCAACCACATGGGGTTTTCTATAGGCCATTACTCCTTGTGCCTTTCTGAGGGGGCCAGGTTCTGGCTCATGGTCTCTGGTAGGCCTAGAACTTCATTTGCTCGATTGATACCAAGGTCTAATACATTCATATCAGCTTGGATAGCTCCAGGGAGCTGAAGGGGCTCCTCCTAGAAAAGATCTTCAAAGGCAGATTGTAGAAACTGTATGACGCTTATGAATTTTGCTTGGCTTTTGTAAGTTTATTAATGTATATTTTTTGATATGCTGAATGCTTCAAAATATACAATATTCAATACAATGGCAGAATTTTATACAAATAAAAAAATTGTAGCTGAAAATAAACTTACAGTGCATGGTGGCTGACACCAAGGTTCACCATCAATCTGCATGGGAAACTTCTTCCTTGTTCTAATGACAACAGAAGAGCATTGAGCCAGGCGACGCCCTGATCCACGAAGCCCTGTTCTTACTTGACCCATATGGAGGCAATTTTCAAGTCCAATTACTTCAATTAATTTATCACCAATATCTGTTTAGATGAAATAGAAATAAGACCTAAAACATAATGAGCATGAAAGCTTGACAAAATCTAAGGAATATTGTCTTAATTTTGTGGTCAACATTGAAATGTGAAATCATCTTGAAAATGCTGTGTTTACCTAGCTGTTTCCTGGGAACAAGATACAGGACTTTGGGTCAGCCTCCTTGCTAATGGGTTCCAGACGGTACAGCACTGTCAGAGTTCTAGTGCTGTACTTTATCACACCTACTTTCTAAACTGTGAAGAGAAGTGACATCCATCAGCTGCACTACCAGTTCCTTCCACTTGCTTGCTGCCCTCACTGCATATGGGTATTTCCCTGTGTGTGTGATTTTTTGTTTGCAACTTCCACCTATAACCCCCCTACATTTTATCCCCATATCCAGTACTATCCCTGTATTCCTCATCTGTTATTAACACTTTCGTTCGGGAAGGATGTCTACGACGTCTGATTGTAATATATTTGTCAAAATTACATTTTTTATCTGATCATTTTGGAAGACGTTTTAAAGTTTGCGCAAATGTCTTCCCATTTTCTGTTAGGGGCCATGTGGTATCAAGGTTTGTCAAAAACACAGGGCTGTGAAACTAACCCCTCCCCCTCCCCCAAAAATTACAGGCTATAGTTGGCAATTTTTCTGATTTTGAAGATGAAAGTGATGAAAGTGACAGTGATGTAGATAGTGAGTTCGTTGAAACTGAAACAGCAGGTAAGGGGTGAACTTGAAAGTGAGGGGAGTGCTGATTTTGAGCCCACAGGTACCTCCACAGGCACACATGAACACACCGCATGTAGGAAACGTAAACATTCTGGTGAAGCCTGGTCAACTGACAACACACTACCATTTGTAGACAGTTTTACTGGAACACCAGGCTTGACTGTACCAGTACCAATCACACCTCTGGGATTTTTACAGTTTACTACACCCGGACCATTAGGTGTGTGGCGGCCACTATTCCCATCTTCACCTCAACATTACAATTCATCATCTGACTCAGAAGATGAGTTAGATTATTCTTTCTGGTGCTACTGTTAGGAGAAACCTTCGTATTGTTGATAGACCAGGACGTCTGATTAGCAAAATGAATCATTCCTATTTTGCATCCAGAAAGGCCTGAAGAGTCGTGTTTGCTTCAGAAAGGGTAAAAAGAAGGACACCAAATATAAGTGCAAGTTGTGTAATGTGGCACTGTGTGCTGCACCATGCTCCGGCTTGTACCATCGCAAGAGGACATACTGGGTGGATAAGCAGTAATGCTTACCCACCATCCACTCCACCTATAAAACATTGGTTGAGCAACTTCAAGAAACAATTTTCTGGAGCAGGTGGAGTGGTTCAGCCTAATTTTCAACTCATCGTCTACAAACATCATTTTTGGGTGGTAAGTACAGCCTTTTTTTTCCCTGTAGAGCATTCTATTGCATACATATCGATACCAAAATGAACAGCCTAACAAGAAAATTGACGTTATCAAACTAAAAAATTATACACATTTGTGTGCAGGTGTAGCGGGTGTGCAAATGAGTGCTAGCTCACAACTAATGCTCGGCTGACTTTCACTTTTGCTGTTGGGGAGGGAGGTGCATGGATTTTGGACTTTATATGCTGATACCTCTGTAGGGAATTCTATTGTGAACAAATTGATACCATATTGTACAACGTAGGATAATTGAAGTGCGCCAATATCATTGACGCAAGACGTTCCAAATCTGCACATGGAAATAAATCCCTATAAGACTTAGAGGCATTGCAGGAAATGCAAAACAGCCTCATGGAAAGGTAGAGGTGGAATGGGTATGCTGAGACAATTCCATTAACATCAAGGGGCCCCAAGATTTTCAAAACTCTTCCTCTATAAATGTGGGTCATATCCAATTAACTAACCAATTAAATTAGTATGTTGGATTCTGAAACAATGATCTTGGGAACAATCTCAAGGTGAGGCACTTGTGCATAGTAAAGATGTGCCTATCATCCTGGCTGTGCTCCTGTACATATTAGTGGGCTTTATACTTGAGGCAAAGAGCATGTTTGGGTAGTGTACATGAATGTCACCATGGCTGCTTATGCCCTGGCCTTTTTTGGCCTTGTGTCCCATCTCCTGCATTGGTGTTGCATTGGGTGGCAGGGGTCTTGATGCCATGTTGGTGTCTTTCTTTGTAGCTGCAATATGTAGTGGCTTGACAGGCCTTCTGCATATACAGTGGCACCTCGATTAACGAGCGACTCTATTTACGAGCATTTCCAGTAACGAGCAAGCCACTCGCAGCAAATTTGTCTCTATTGACAAGCTTCATCTCTATTAACGAGCAAAACCACATGGTGATGCCTAGCGTCTCGCGGGTTCTCGCAAATTCTCGGACGCCTCCGACGCCAGTGTTGTTGTATCGCACATGACAAGCATCCCTCTGGATTTATTTGCGCTTTTCTCTGTTTTTTTTTTGTGTGGTTTTGTGACTGCAATTTGTAACGCACGATGTCGCCAAAGAAGCTGCTTGCTTAAGACAGTGTTGGGAAGGGGAAGACAGCGACAATTACCGTGGAAGTGAAGAAGGAAATCATAGCAAAGCACGAGTGTCGTGTGCATGTGACTGATCTCGTCACGGAGTATGGCAGGTCCTCATCAACGATTTGTACCATTCTGAAGAGGAAGGAACAATTTAAGATGCTTAAGGTGGCTAAAGGAGTTACCAAGGTTAACAAGAAACGTCCAAAAATCCTAAAAGAGGTTGAAAAGCTACTGCTGGTCTGGATGAATGAAAGGCAATTACATGGCGATAGTGTGTCTGAAGCTCTTGTTTGTGCAAAGCCCAAGAAATTGTATGTGGACCTTGTTAGGAAGACACCAGGTGCGTCGTCTGAAGAGGAGGAGATATTTAAGGCAAACCATGGATGGTTTGAGAAATTTAGGAAGAGAAGCGGTATCCAGTGTTGTGCGACATGGGGAGGCTGCCAGCTCTGATAAAGCTGCTGCCGAGAAATTTGTATCAGAGTTCCAGGAATTTGTTGCTAGAGAGGAGTTCTTGCCCCAACAAGTTTTTAATTGTGACGAGACTGGCCTGTTTTGGAAGAAAATGATGAAGAAGACCTACATCATACAGGAGGAACAATCTTTGCCTGGCCACAAACCGATGAAGGATCGGCTTACTCTCGTGCTCTGCACCAATGCAAGTGGCAATTGCAAGGTCAAGCCGCTGCTAGTCTACCACTCGGAAAATCCACGCGTGTTCAAGGCATGTAAAGTGTATAAGGCGCGACTGAATGTGATGTGGACGTCCAGTAAGAAATCCTGGGTCACGAGGATATTCTTCACTGAATGGGTCAGTGATGTTTTTGGCCCTTCAGTGAGGAAATATCTTGAAGAGAAGCAGTTGCCACTCAAGGCCTTGCTTGTGCTCGATAATGCTACTGCACATCCTCCACAGATGCGAGAAGAATTGTATCTTGAAAATCAGTTCATCACCATCAAGTTCCTACCTCCCAATACCACTTCACTCCTCCAACCTATGGACCAGAAAGTCATTGCAAACTTTAAGAAACTCTACATGAAGGCCATGTTGGAGAGGTGTGTTAATGTGATAGACAATATAGAGCTGACCCTCAAAGAATTCTGGAAGAACCACTTCAATATCCTGGGTGCCTTACATTTGAGCAATAAGGCCTGGGAAGGAGTGACACGGAGGACCCTAAACTCTGCATGGCGTAACCTGTGGCCTGAGGGTGTCCCTGAGCGAGACTTCGAAGGTTTCGGTCCTGCACTTGCATCTGCATCTGCACCTGTGGAAGACCCGGAAGTGCATCTATTGGATGATATTGTTGCTCTGGGGCAAACTTTGGGTCTGGAGTTGGATGCTGTTGATGTGCAGGAGTTAGTGGAGGAGCACAGTGAGGAACTAACCACTGAGGAACTCCTGGAACTTTAGAAGGAGCTTAATCAAGAGGAGGCACAAGAGCTCTCATCAGGGGAGGAGGAGGTAGGGGAGGATGCTGCTGCCTCTTCAAGTGAGATCAGGAAAGTGTTGGGAATGTTTGAAAAGGTGACCGCATTCTTAGAAAAACATCACCCTGATCAAGCAGTGACAACCCGATGTGTGAACATGTTTAATGACAATTTGCTGTCTCATTTTAGGGACATCCTAAAACAAAGACAAAAGCAATTGTCAATAGATACGTTCTTTGCAAAAGTAGAGAAAAGAAGAGCCAGTGATAGTGAACCACAACCCGGTCCCAGTGAGATGAAATTCCCAAGAAGAGAGAGGCTGCCTGACTCAGAGGTGGACTCTCCTTCCACACCATAACCCCTCTCCTCCTTCCCACCTCCCCATCGTCTCCCTCAAGCCAGCAACGACTCTTCATAAGGTAAAGTAAATATAAAAACAGTATAACAAAACATTTATAATTACATGTGCAGTATTATATTTACATAAAAAAATGTCATATAAGTATGGATGTTTTTGGGAGTGGAACGGATTAAATTTATTTCCTTTATTTTAAATGGGGAAATTTGTTTCTTAAGACGAGTTTTCCACATAACGAGCTCGGTGCCAGAACGGATTAACTCGTTAATAGAGGTGCCACTGTACATTATACACATACACACACATATATCTTTATATAATATATGAATACATACATATACTGTATATGCATTCACCTATGAAGCATTAAATATGCCAAAGTTGGATGATAGAATGAAAAAGAGGCAATATGATCACCATATACAAAATAGGAATGGTAATCATCAATTAACAAGGAGGAATTTTCTAAACCTGCAGCTTCAAGAACAAGAGGTCACAGATTCAAGCTAAAGAAACAACGGTGCCAAATGTATGAGAGTTCTCTTTTGCAAGCAAATTTGTAGATGGTTGGAATAACTGAAGGGGCCCGAATCGCATTCATTCTTATTTGTACCATTCAAGACCTTCACTGGACGTCCATTCAAGAACTTTCTATTAGATTTTATTTACAAAATCTAACCTATAAGATGAACCTCCAGCCCAAGGAAACTGGGGAAGAAAAAATGGCAACATTTAAAAATCCAAAAATATGGAATAATTACTGAAATTTTTTAAATATTGAATTTAATAGAACAGTCTAAAGTAACATTTGGAAGGATATTATTACATTACAACATTAAGTTGCTAAAAAATTTATTGTTTATCGAGACCCATCATTTTGCTAAACAACTGCACCGTTGAAAATCTGTAATTCAAGGTATAATTCACATATTTTAATTTGCTCTTTCCATATTGTAGTGCATATATGAAGAATATAATACTGCATGTAAAATGAATGAAAATTTGTTTATAAATAACAAAACTCAAAGTTATTAGATACAGTACAGTATGTACAATCACATTTTTGAGTAAAATGATCTGAATAATTGTGCTCACCAGTAGATGAGGTAAATGTTGCCTAGATTTTCTTCCAGCTTCACATGTATTATAATGATTATTATTGGTAGGCTACATCCTCAAATACTGTATTGAGAATGTCTGCATTAGGAGAAGGAGGACCGGTCTGAGGAGCCGGTCAGCCGAGCGGACAGCACACTGGATTTGTGATCCTGTGGTCCCGGGTTCGATCCCGGGCGCCGGCGAGAAACAATGGGCAGAGTTTCTTTCACCCTATGCTCCTGTTACCTAGCAGTAAAATAGGTATCTGGGTGTTAGTCAGCTGTCACGGGCTGCTTCCTGGGGGTGGAGGCCTGGTCGAGGACCGGGCCGCGGGGACACTAAAGCCCCGAAATCATCTCAAGATAACCTCAAGATTATATAATATGCAATTTCCAGGACAAAGATTTTGGAACCCTACCACCCCCCCCCCCTCCCCCCACTTTTCCCAAGACACAATTTTGGGTACATTGCTATTTTTATGAAATTAAATATGAACATACTGTATTAATAATGCTTATTACAAGGTTTTATATTTAATGACAAATTACATTAATAGAAAGCTTTCTCAGATGATCCTGCTACCATGACATCAATGTCTTGTGATGTTCCTGCTATGGCAACTTTACTGATGTCCCATGATGTTCTGCTATGGCAATGTCACTGATGTAATTACCTAAGTGTAATTACCTAAGTGTAGTTACAGGATGAGAGCTACGCTCGTGGTGTCCCGTCTTCCCAGCACTCTTTGTCATATAACGCTTTGAAACTACTGACGGTCTTGGCCTCCACCACCTTCTCACTTAACTTGTTCCAACCGTCTACCACTCTATTTGCGAAGGTGAATTTTCTTATATTTCTTCGGCATCTGTGTTTAGCTAGTTTAAATCTATGGCCTCTTGTTCTTGAAGTTCCAGGTCTCAGGAAGTCTTCCCTGTCGATTTTATCAATTCCTGTTACTATTTTGTACGTAGTGATCATATCACCTCTTTTTCTTCTGTCTTCTAGTTTTGGCATATTTAATGCTTCTAACCTCTCCTTGTAGCTCTTGCCCTTCAGTTCTGGGAGCCACTTAGTAGCATGTCTTTGCACCTTTTCCAGTTTGTTGATGTGCTTCTTAAGATATGGGCACCACACAACAGCTGCATATTCTAGCTTTGGCCTAACAAAAGTCATGAACAATTTCTTTAGTATATCGCCATCCATGTATTTAAATGCAATTCTGAAGTTAGAAAGCATTGCATAGGCTCCTTGCACAATATTCTTAATGTGGTCCTCAGGTGATAGTTTTCTATCTAGAACCACTCCTAGATCTCTTTCTTTATCAGAATTCTTTAAAGATTTCTCACATAATATATAGGTTGTGTGGGGTCTATGTTCTCCTATTCCACATTCCATAACATGACATTTATTAACATTAAATTCCATTTGCCAAGTGGTGCTCCATATACTTATTTTGTCCAGGTCTTCTTGAAGGGCATGACAATCATCTAAATTTCTTATCCTTCCTATTATCTTAGCATCATCAGCAAACATGTTCATATAATTCTGTATACCAACTGGTAGATCATTTATGTACACAATAAACATCACTGGTGCAAGAACTGAACCCTGTGGTACTCCACTTGTGACATTTCTCCATTCCGATACATTGCCTCTGATTACTGCCCTCATTTTTCTATCAGTCAGAAAATTTTTCATCCATGATAGAAGCTTACCTGTCACCCCTCCAATATTTTCCAGTTTCCAGAACAACCTCTTATGTGGAACTCTGTCGAAAGCCTTTTTTAGGTCCAGATAGATGCAGTCAACCCAGCCATCTCTTTCCTGTAAAATCTCTGTGGCCCGATCATAGAAACTGAGTAAATTCGATACACAGGATCTTCCTGCACAGGATGTCATGTGGTATTCCTGCTATGGCAAATTCACTGAAATCTCATGGTGTTCCTGCTATGGCAACATCACTGATGTCTCATGGTGTTCCTGCTATGGCAACGTCACTGATGTCTCATGATGTTCCTGCTATGGCAATATCACTAATGTCTCGTGGTGTTCCTGCTATGGTAATGTCACTGATGTCTCATGATGTTCCTGCTATGGCAATGTCACTGATGTCTGTCTCGTGGTGTTCCTGCTATGGCAACATCACTGATGCCTCTTGGTGTTCCTGCTATGGCAACATTACTGATGCCTCTTGGTGTTCCTGCTATGCCCTGGACATGTGGTGAGTCAGCAACGACACAACGTGGTTAGCAACGAGCAACGTGGCTTGTTCCATGCTGCTGGGGGCAGCAGCATGCAGTGGCTAGCTGGAATTGTCATGACAGACTTTCTGTGATGAACTAAACTGTCTTGCATGTGATGCTTTCAATTACCATTTAGAGCGTCTTGAAGAGAAGGGATTTTTGAATGTGAGGTGTGACAAGAGGTGATGTAGAACATATCGCTACTAAAAAACTCGAGTGCAGACACTTAACACCACTGGTTTGCTCTGTTCAGTGACCTGCGAGTCACTGATATCCTCCTCGACATTCAGAGCTCTGGATGAGTTGAGAGTTGCCAGCAAGCATTAAAAAATGCATATAATAATTTTACATGTACTGTACCAGTAAAATAAAACATACGAGGTTTATATAAATATTTTAGAGTATGCAGACTGCCCTGATCAACCCTGCTTGATACCTGCTTGATAACTTTTCTATAACCCAATAGGGTTATAGAAAACCCTATAACCGTATAACCCAATAGGGTTATAGAAAACCCTATAACCGTATAACCCAATAGGGTTATAGAAAACCCTATAACCCAATAGGGTTATAGAAAATTAGCACAATATACCATATAATAATGACATACTTTTTGTAGCAAAGTGTTACCACATTGCTCTAACATTTTTAGATGTGTTTTACTGTATTTTAAATATATTCTTATTTTTTTTTTAATATTTTTCACTGATATTGGTGCTTCAGGTCCCCATAAGTTAGAAGATGGTTGATGCCACAACCATCAGTAATTTAAAAGTGTCATAGGACAGATAATTGAGAAGATGGGATACTATAAATGTAGCTCTGATCCTGTTACTACACTTGAGTAATTACAGATTACATACTAAATTACCTTGAATTGCAGTGGTGAGATCAGCAGAAGTGAAGGAAGATGTTGAAAGTTCTCTTTCTCTGTCTTTTTTCTTCTTACTTTTACAAGTTTTATGTCTCTTTTTGAGTGTGTTGTCACCCCACATGTTGGAGCCACCATGAGTGTATGGTATATTCAACACAGCAATGCCTTGTAATGAAGGTCCATTTGATAAATCCAGAGACACTCCATCACACTGCCACAGAGATGCTGGTGTTATACACAGAACTGTTTCATGTATCAAGTGTTTATTGATGCATAGGAGAGAAAAATCTGGAGATAAATATAATACATTATGTAACAATAAAATAAAATAAAGCTGGTGACTAAAATGCACAAGATACAATAACACAATTCAAAAAGAACATCTCATGAGAACAAGTGTTGAAAGGAAGAGTGTATTATACACATATTCTCCTGGGTTCTCTTACCAAACCATTGCAACACTCCTTCCTGGTGATATTTACACTCTTGCAAATTAAATTTCAATGTGTTGTAGCACTTCTGAATCCACACCATTTTTTCTCCTCTCGACACAAAACAAATGCCATGCTAAATAAACATTCTGGCTCACACTGGCATTTTTTAGTACTTGTGTATGATGTACACTTTAAATGAGACACCACGACAAAATTGAGAAAAATGCTCTGTAAATGTTGCATTTCATTTTCAATCTTTTTGTGTGATATAATTTGGTAATTTAGTTTTGACCATAATGAACTTGATAACTTAGACTGCCTTGATTTTGCATTAACCTCACTGAATGGTTCTCATTTCAGTTATTCCAATCTCAAAATTGCAAAGCAAACAAAAATTATTTGTAGTATGCTTATTTGGCCAACATAAAGGAGTTTTGTTAATGTTTCCGCTATAATAACAAAGCATTGACCACACAATTTACTAGCAACATCTCAACAATATAATATTTGAATCCAATTTATATGGGTCATTATAAATGGCTGTAATAATTATAATTAAACTGGCAGTGGACACGTATATTGTCTATGGTATTTTAAATCAATAAAATTCAGAATAAACTTGAATATGCAGAGTAATGCATATTCTATACTCACCATAATGTCAATATCTTCATGAAGATTTTTACATGAGGCAGCAAATGTTTCAGATGTGGCATATTCAAAATACCATAATTTATTTTTCATTCTACTGTTAAATTTCTCAGGATTTCTCTCTCGTTCGAGATGAAACTTGACACAAATGGCTGCATCCTGCAAGTGTGGAAGCTTAAAATAAGAAAGAAGTAGAGGCCCAAATGATCAGATTCTTCTCAGGTCAAAGAGAAAATATGAAGTATTTTGAAACAGACCGAGATGTCCAGTTTGAAAAACAATCCCATTGCTAATTACAAAATAGTTTTGCGTAGGAATCGTAATATTATAAAAACAACTAATAATAAATGTGTTCATGGAAAGAGTGCAAATGGTGTATGTAATTCATACACTAATAGAAACAGTTGAGCAACATTTCACATTTGTATATAACATATACAGTATACCCTTGATATTACGTATTCATATAACTTAAATGGCTTTGGAAAGGACAAAACTTTAAAAGTGAGGGAAAGGGGTTTTGCATGTACAGTGGCGCCTCGATTAATGAGTTTAATCCGTTCCGGCACCGAACTCGTCATGTTGAATACTCGTCTTGTGAAACAACGACAAAACTGTCGTCGGAGGTGTCCGAGAACCAGCGGGAACACTCGTTAATCAAGCGAAAGCCCGTCAGTCGAGACATATTTTCTGCGAGTGGCTTGCTCGTTACTCGAAATGCTCGTAACTGGAGTCGCTCATCACTCGAGGTTCCACTGTATGAGATATAGTAAGAGGTTCAAGGAACACAAGATGGTGTTTTTGCGAGTGGTTTTTTTCCTACCCGTGTGTTTGTTTGGCTGTATTGCCACACCTGCTGCATTACCTCAGTTTTCTTGCATCATTCCAGCTCTCCTGTGTCTGGGCCCAGAACAGCTTTGTACACAATATACCATTCTTTGACGTCACGGTTTTTTATATTTTATGTACTGTACTTTTGGGATTATGTTCTTTCATTAACCCTTAAACTGCGCAACGCGCCTGCTGGCTCGCGTCTGGTTTGCGCAACGCGCCTCCAGGTATTTTGATTTTTCACGTTCCATTCAAAACTGGCGCGCGGTGATGCGGGTATGGTATGGGTGGGTGGGGGCCCCAGTGATCGTCCGCCATCTTAAAAAAAAATCCCAGCATGCCCTGCGGCCGTGGGGAGCCTCAGTTTCACGGCAGCAACCATGTCTGACGCATCCTCTACGAGCTCCCGCTCCACGGTGACCCGCGGTCATGGAAAACGACTCTCTGAGGAGGAAATACGCGATATTTTGTATGATGACGGTGCTCTGGATGATGACCTGGACTATGATCCAGATAAAGACCTAACTCAGAGATCTGATACGAGTGAGGAAGAGACAGAATTGGAAGATGTGGCGAGTGTGTGGGGTACTCGTGCCTCGCCCGGCCTGCCTCGCCGCCCTGGGTCAACACCGTTATCATCACCACCATCATGTATGTCCCCAGACGCTAGTAGTTTATTCAGTGATAGTACATGTGACGAATCTTTCTCGGGCTTCAGTGACATTGGCTCCGATACGAGTAGTGTGGACGACCCGAGTACGAGCAGTGGTGGTGTTACCAGGCGGGGTTTTGCTACCTCAGCAACACGCCGCGGCAGGCGGCAGCGTGCCTCACAGCATGTGGACAACGACAGTGGCCCCTCAACATCATTTATTCGTGGTAGGTCTACAGTACGTAAATCTGCCTCAGCGCCTAGCATACCCTCACGCAGCTCCAGCAGAAGCAGCGGACGACGTAGCCGTAGTTTTGGTGCTCGTGGTGGTGTTGGCCGTGGTGTTGGCGCCAACACCAAACCCCCTGGTGTACTTGTGTGGGAGGATTGCACCACATTTGTCCCTCAAATACCAACATTTGATGATAGCGATTTTGGTGTTACACCATTATTCCCATATACTGGTGATGATATGGCAGACATGGAATATTTTCAGGCATATTTTGACAATGTATTCATGACGCATCTTGTGACTGAGACAAACAGGTTCGCTCACAGCCTCATAGACGAAGGCATTTTACCTGCCTCACGGCTCACACGATGGAAGGACACGACAATCGACGAAATGTACGTGTTTCTGGCACTCTGTATGATAATGAAGCACTCTGAGAAAGCTGTCATCCACGATTATTGGAGCAAAGACAGCCTTGTTCCATCGCCTGTGTTCAACCGGTACATGTCGCGTGATAGGTATCTCTTGATTCTCAGGTGCCTGCATTTCGAGAATAATGCAAATGAGGACAGACACGACAGACTGTGGAAAGTACGGAAGATGTTCAGTGACATGAGAGGGAAGTTCAGGGATTATTTTGTACCTGGACAGAATGTGGTTATTGACGAGTCGCTTGTACTGTTCAAGGGGCGACTGGCATTCAAGCAGTACATTCCATCAAAGCGGCACCGATTTGGACTGAAGTTTTTTGTGCTATGCGACTGTGAGACTGGTATTGTCTTGGACATGATATTATATTCTGGTACAGACGTCGACATACCGGCTCAAGATGAACACGGGTTCTCTGGCAGTGTTGTAAAAACCCTGATGGAACCGTTGCTGAACAAGGGGCATGTACTGTACACCGACAACTATTACACCAGCCCCTTATTGACCAGATACCTCCTTGCCCACAACACTGGCGTATGTGGCACTGTGAAGAGCCACAGGAAGGAAATGCCAGTGTTCGGTATAGCTATAGCCGTGGGTGAGTGCCAGCTGCGCAAGTGTGACAATACGCTGTCAGTGCGGTGGAAGGACAGACGCGAGGTGAATATGCTGAGTACGATTCACACCGGTGCCATGTTGGACAGTGGGAAAGTCCACTTTCAGACACGCAACACCGTGTATAAGCCAGACTGTGTCATAGACTATAACGTAAACATGCACCTCGTCGATAAGTGTGACATGATGCTTGGTGGAGTGGAGTGCGTGCGCAAGTCTGTGAAGTTGACTAAAAAGTTCTTCTTCCACCTCATGGATGTTGCAGTGCTCAACTGCTTCAATATGTACTTAGTAAAATCTGGCAGGAGACCGTCTATACGTACATTCAGTGCTGGTGTTGTGTCACAGCTGCTAGTAAAGTATGGCAAGGAGGGTTCTGTTGTACCGCGTGGAGTGCAAGCAACAATGCCACATGCAGCTCCAGACAGATTGAGGGGTAATGAGAACTTCAGAGTACATATGCTCGAGTATATGCCAGGCACAGCATCACGGGAGAAGGGTAAACGTGCCTGTATAGTATGCAGGAACACTACCCGCAGAGAACAGAAACGAAGATGTATCAGCACCTGGTGCGTGGAGTGCAAGGTGCCACTCTGCCCCGTTGGCTGTTTCGCAGCATATCACACACTCGCGGAGTACTGAGTGTATTTATGGTGTGTGTATATAGTGTGTGATACTGTACAGTGTGTATATAAAGTGTAAATATAAATTTATTTGGCATGATACATTGTAAATTGTGCAGGATAAGTGAACTTGTTTGTGATGCACGTAACACAGTGTCTACGGACAGTACGGATGTTGTACTGCGATATTATAGTGTACGTGTTCATTATACATTGGATTGGCACATAAAAACAATGAAAATGTATTGGGAAATGTGCGCAATAAATGAACAAAAATATATTCGCGGCAACTCGCGCGCCCCGCCCCGAGCGCCCCACCGCCTCCGAGAGCTTACACCACGGGCGCACGGGGAATGATGACGTCACGCCCCAACTTCCGGACCCCATAGCACCCAAAGTAAGTACAATTTCGAATTTTTTTTTACATACCCATACTCAGGGAAGGGTTTTTGACACTTTAAAAAGAAAAAAGAATTTTTTCCAGAGAATTTATTTCCTGCGCACTGCGGGGGTGTCACATTTGGAGGCAACGCAGTTAGGGGGTTAAGTTACATTAAAAAAAATTCAGTTTGTATGAGATTTTTCATGTACACACCTCATGCACATCGGCATCCCTTGTGCATATGTATGAGGGATAATGTGTACTAGGAATGCTGGTATCAGCATCCCTTGTGCATATGTATGCTGATCAGCATCCCTCATAATTACACTGTACCTAAGCCTAGTTAGAGGATGAAAGCTAAGCTCATAGTGTCCCATCTGCCTAGTAATCTTTGTCATATGATGCCTTGAAATTGCGGATGGTTTTGGCCTTCACAGGCTTCTTGCTGAACTTGTTTCAATCCTCTATAACTGTTTGCAAATGAAAACTTTCCTATATTTCTTTGGCACCTTTATGTAATTACCTAAGTTTAGTTACAGGATGAGAACTACACTCATCTTAGGTGTACTTTAGGTACAACACTTAGGTAATTACTCGTGGGGTCCCATCTCCCCAATATGTTTTGCCATATGATGCTTTGAAACTACTGATGGCTTTGGCATCCACCACCTTTTCACTTAACTTGTTCCAACCATCTTCCACTGTTTGCTAAAGAAAATTTTTTATTGTTTTCTGGGGGGGGGGGGAGCCCCTTCGACTCCCCGGAGTTTATCCAGGCTGATACACTAATGTTAGACTTTGGCATCAGTCATGTGTATGGAGTTCTGTGGGCCTACCAGGGACCATGAGCCAGAACCCGGGCCCCCTCAGAGAATGGCCTATAGAAACCCCCATGTGGTTGGAAGCATTCTACAGTATGTCTGCCATCGCCCGGGTTAGGCACCCAGAAAGGTAAGCATCCCAAAACAAACCCCAATTCTGGTAAAATTTGCTACCAAAAGCCGAACAAGTGGATAGTACTCCCCAAAAAGCTCCCCCCCTCGCACCGGCTATCCACCTGTCAGTTCTAAGGCTGATGCTAGAGGCAGAGGTCGCGTGCTCTGGCTCCAGTGGTTTTTCAGCACTGTGCTTCGAGTGTGGGGGCTGTCTTCCAGGGGTGCGAGACCCGGGTGTTATTCTTCAGTACTCGGGCTGCATGCGCCTAGGGTTACTTTCCCTAGGTGCCCTGTAAGTACTGCCCTTAGGGCTTGGGGTTCCCTTCCACAAGTTCCTTGGGTCCTGCCTCTGTTGGGTTGTTTAACTGCTCAGTTTTTCAGCCGCCCTTTGGTTGCCTGGGTGTTTTGTCTCCCTTGTTTACCTCAAGGTAAGAGGCGGTTTGCACTGGTACAGGGCACA